GGAAGGAAGGAAGGAAGGAAGGAAGGAAGGAAGGAAGGAAGGAAGGAAGGGAGGGGAATCACCAAATTTAACTGTTTCAAAGCACCAGAAATATCATGACCCTTTTGCATCAATAAATGATGAAAGTGAAAAAACAGTGAAAGGAGATAGTTGCATGAATGATTTATAACAGCATTTGAAATTGAACCCATAAGTAGATGTAACAGCCATTGAAATAAACTAAAATGATAAAAATTAATGCTCACTGGTTTATTAAGTGTATTAGATTTTACACCTAAGTTTTTGAATTGGTAGTATGTGGAAAGTAAACAACACTGTGTAATTTTCATTTTTTTTTTTTTTTTTTGAGATGGCATCTCACTCTGTTGTCCAGGCTGGTCTCCAATTCCTGGGTTCAAACAATCCTCTTGCCTTAGCCTCTCTATTAGCTCCATTTGTAGGCACAGTGCCCAGTAATTCTGCCTTATAAATTTAACTTTCTTTGAAAAATATGTTCACATAAGACAAATTTTACAACTGAAACAATTCATACTTTTGTACTAAGAAAATATGCTTATGGGTATATTATTTCCTTTAAGAATGAGTAAAATGCCTTGATATTTTACTTTCCTTTTGAAAAAAAAAAGTGGGCTAATTATTATGATGGATATCCTTCCTAATTTTCCTGGACAGTCCTGGTTTAACCTGTTGTCTCAGTGTAATTATTTATAGGGCTACTTTTTATTTTCACAATTTCTATGGTGCTACTATTCACATCTTGAGTTATCTCCTATATACCATTACTGAAATGGAATATTTTTTAAAAAAAATAAAATGAAGAAACTATTTGATCACTCACTTACTATGCTTTTGCATGATTTTACATTACCTTCAAGTTTCTTGCCACAGATTTTCATGAAATTCATCAATTATACTGACTTGTATCAAAACCATTTGCATGACTTGTTTCTACCATTAAGCATCTAGTCTCTACAATCAAAAGGATAATCTACATCTCTAAACTATCATGTACATATTAAAAGTTGAAAATAGTTTTAGTGTAAATTAGTATAAGGTCTTTGATGTCAGAGTCTGACAGACATGAATAAATTCTTTCATTTGATGAACTAATGATGAAAAATTTAAATCAACTGACAATTTCATACAATTGTTGTAAAGGTTAAATGAGACTGTAAATAAAAAGTGTGTGTATATATATACTTAAGTATATATCTGTATCTTTTTATCTCTATCTCTGTATCTACAGTGTGTATGTAAATAAGATGTGTACATTGCCTAGCTACCTACTTTGGTTATTAGGTGCTGTCATGGAAGTAAAAAGAATTATTTGTTGCCTTATCAACCTAAATAAAATTAAAGCTTCAACAAAATAGCATACATTCATTTATTCTAAATATCATTACTATAAATATAACTGTTAGTCAGATTATAGGGATCAATAAGCATAGTGGGACAATTTCAGGAGTGGAAAAAAGCTGTAGAATTAATACTTTCTTAATTTGTAATCACTATCACATTGTGAGAACTGGCCCTAAGGGAGGCTGCAAAAATAAGTATTATTCTTTATTATATTTCTTATAAGTATACATAATTTTAACCTGGCTAATTTAAAATCACTTTCTATGAATAGACGATAATGATTGAATATTAGTACATGTGCTAAGCATTTGTTCTATCCTTTCAAATAACAGGTGGCCAAAACTTCATGTGGTGTTGTTACAAGGATCAACCCCAGGAAAGCATCTGGCAGTTTGTCAATAGGACTGATGAAGCCAAGGCTGAGTCCTGTGGACATGAATGGATATTTTGCAGGAAATAAAGTTTCAAGGAACAAAGGCACTACTAGTAAGCAACAATCACACCTAAGGGTTCATATTTTGAATCTGCTTTTTTACAGGTCAGAGAAACTAGTCCTTGATGGATTGAAAAGCATATTTTATGTGAGAGTTCCAATCTGGTTTTAAAGCTTCATCATGAAGTAATTTGAAGATTCAGGGTGATCTGGTAGAATTTTTCAAACTCACAGCTAGAAACAGTGACTTCATGGATTAAAAAAAATACAGCAAGAAAACACATTTGGCATAACTTCTCAAGTATACGATTTCTAGTAGTAAACACTCAAAAATAGATTTAGTGTATGCTTAAAAAATTTGTGTAAAATACTTTGAACTCCTTTTAAATAGTAAGAACTTTTCAAACCTTAGTAGTTTAAAGACTAAAACTGATATTGGATTATAAAAGTAGATATTATTGTTGAAATTGGCAAGAAGAACATTCATTAAAATATTCATTAGCTTCAAGAATCTTTGTAGGGACCTATTTTGAACATTAATCATTCTTTTTGCCTTCCCATAATTATTGGTATTTTGTAACTAAGTATTTTTTATGATGTTTGGATGTTTTATAGGTAAAGACATAGAGGCTTTCTTGGCTATAAATTTACAAATAGAAATTTAAAAGAATATTTCACTAAATAGTATTTTCTAACAAGAATACTTCATTACTCATAAAAGCAGTCAGGAGAATATTGTTTACCAGAGGTTGGGGCTGGGCGGGTTGGGATGATGTTAGTCAAAGGATAGAAACTTTTATTTAGAAGAACTAAGTCAAAACATCATTTTGAATCATACTTACTATAGTTAATAACAATGTATCACATACTTGAAAAGTGCTGAAGGGTAAATATTAAGTATTTTCACCACAAAAAAATGATAAATATATGAGATAATGCATAGGTTAATTATCTTAATTTAATTATTCCCAATGTATCCATATATCAAACAATAATGGTTTATAACATAAATATACAGACTTTTTATTTGTGAATTTAAAAATAATTAGTTTACTTAGTGTTTCTCACAGTCATTACTTACATAAAAACAAATTGAAACCAAACCATGTAGTAAAAAAAAAATAATAAGACTATAAATAATAAAATATAATTCTTATCCTTCCAAAATTCTAACATTGAGGACACAGAAAAATGAATTAAAATATGGGTTATTCTACTAAGCAATTCATTTCTTACCACATGGTTTTATCTACCTGTTCTACCTGATGATTATATCTAAGGTGCATTAATAACAATGCAATATTAATAATGAATTACTAAATGGTAACTATTACAGGTTTATCCCCTGCAGTTTTCTTGGAAAGACATGTGAGCAGTTATTTAGCTCATTTAGAAGAATAACATTTATTTTTTAAATACTTATTATATTAGCAAACATGGAAAGAAGAAAATGGTTTTAAGACCACTCTGAAGTACACCATGAAAAGTTAAGATGCAAAACCATCCAAAAAGATGAACATAGAGAGAATAAAAGGATGGAACAGTCTAAACTATAAGGGCAATATCAAGAGTCAGAAACAAGAGCAACAACATAAAGAGTGAATTCTACACTTGATGATATTTATGGTTCTGTAGCTGCTGTTTTTAAGCATGGCAATCAGACTACTATAAAATAGAAGATGAATTAAAATAGTGATGCTTGGTAGCATGGAAATGATTTAGGAAACCATTGCTTCATTTCTGATAAGAGACTGAAAAGCCAAACAAAGCCAGCATTTGAGATGCACATATTTGGACTGGAGAATATTTGGGAAATGTTTAGCATAAGCAGATGATGCAGAGTGAAAAGTCACTAGGACTCAGCAGATTTTACCTTTAATATTGGAAAGATAATGATGTCACCATGTAATAGAGGAATGGTAATGTTAGGGAAGACATAATACTGAT